TTGTTGAAATTTTCAGTGGATAATGACAAGTAGGGAGAGAGCCTCTTCTGTCCATGTGCTAGTGAGTAGAGAGAGCTCCATCCTAGACTAATAGAGAAATGGAATGGATTTCAGGTCTTCAAGCTGCTTTGCTTAAACAATATCATCAGTCAAATCTTATCTCCTCTGCACATTGCCAGCCATATCTGAATAATTATCACACCTACTTCCTAAGAAGGAAAAGAGGTAGACCTTGAGCTATAGTACTTGGGGTTGCATTCTAATTTCAATTCTGTTTTGAGTCTAATGGTAAATGTTTCAAAAATGAAACTAAATCACAGTCCTCTCTTGGTTTTAGCTTTCTCTCACTGCCATTATATCCAGATGGAAGCCAGCTACCTCCAGGGATATTAACCCTAATCCAGTAGTGTCTTTACTGAGATACCTTAAATAACATCATCATTTACTTCTTACAATACAAGAAGCACTGAGTGGTCCCGACCCCACTGGGAAGCTTCATCAGACCCTCACAGCTGTGGATATGAAAGTGGGAAATCGCACAACCCTGACGGAATTCATCTTGGTGGGCTTCACAGCAGATCGTCAGTTGCAGCTGATTCTGTTTGGAGTATTTCTAATGCTCTATTTGGTGACCTTGTCTGGGAACATGACTCTGGTTATCTTAATCCGGATAGATTCCCGTCTTCACACACCTATGTACTTTTTTATTGGCAGTCTGTCTTTCCTTGATTTCTGGTACACCACTGTGTATACCCCCCTAATCCTGGTTAATTGTATCTCAGAAGACAAGCGGATTTCTTTGGCAGGTTGTGGGGCCCAGGCGTTCTTTTCCTGTGTTGTAGCCTACTCAGAATGCTACCTCCTAGCAGCCATGTCTTATGACCGCCATGTGGCTATTTGTAATCCTTTGCACTATTCTGGCACCATGTCCAGATCTCTCTGTATTGGGCTTGTCGCTGGCTCCTACATTGGTGGGTTTTTGAATGCCATCGCTCATACAGCCAACACGTTCCGTCTGAGTTTCTGTGGCAACAATATCATTGACCACTTTTTCTGTGATGCACCACCTCTGGTGAAGATGTCCTGTACTGACACGCGGGTCTATGAACAAGTGCTCCTGGGTGTGGTGGGCTT